TTTAATCTGGGCATCCTATGGCCGGTCAAATTGATACATAAAGTTAACCATCATGCCAAATAACTTTTTTGAGGAGAAGGTCTGGGCTGCATTTCAAATTATGTAGGTTCTAGCAAGAGAATATTCCGGACAGAGTAAGTCTTTGACTGTTAGTAAGAGCCTTCGTCTCTACTTGGGCTGTTCGGTGCGCTGATAACAGCCCAGGAACATCTCATCTGAAGTCTTCTCCCTCGTCCACAGACTGCACCACAGAGACAAGTTAAAAAGAAATAGTAAAATGCAGAGTTATTTGGGCATTGGCTCTTGGCTGAGTTTCTGGGCCTTTTCTCTAGGGACCGTCACCTGCCTTGCATGCTCGTGGCCAAGGATGCCATTTCCCTCATGACAGCAAACATGGGAGAAGGAGCTGCCTTAATAGCCAAGTGGAAACTTGAATCTGAAAAATTATAAGAAAATGTACCCATTCTGCAGTGTTTTGTGTTCCGTTGTCATTAGACTGGGCAAGCAGTTCTCTGCGGGGGCTTTAGCAGCCACCAAGGTCAAGTTCTATAGAAACACCATTCAAAATAGAATTCATCCAGAAAAAGTAAATCTCTTGAGATAGAAAGTAGATGAGTAGTTGCCTGGGGCTGGGATTGGGAAAAGGGACTGACTGCAAATGAGCCCTAGAGATCTTTTTGGGGTTGAAAATATTCCAAAGTTGGATTGTGGCAAGGGTCGCATAACTCTTAACTTCGTTAAAAATCATTAAATAGTACACTTAAAATAAGCAAATTTTATAAATACTATAAATGATATAGAAATTATAAAGTTCTTACACACACACACACACACACACACACACACACACACACTCTCACACTCCAGAGATTCCTGGGCTGGTACTACTATAAATATATAGAAATTATAAAGTTCTTACACACACACACACACACACACACACACACACACACACTCTCACACTCCAGAGATTCCTGGGCTGGTACACAACTTAAACAAGTCTGTTCCTAAACAGGAATGGAAGAAATTTTGACTGTCCACGGTTCCACATTGCATATTATTTTGCACTCTCATTGAAAAAGATCCCCTTACTTGGAATCTGCTTTGTATTCATTTCATGAAGGAGAAAAAAACCTGGTATGATGATATATATTTTGTGCAAAAAAAAAGGGAAAGTTTATAAATGAGGTCTAAGCCTAAGATTATTACCTGGTACAAATGCTTCATAATCTAAACAATGACGATACTAATAACTACAACTATGTGACTATTATTCACGGTTCTTGTTAGCTCTGGAGTAGAATAATATAATCACATACTGTCTAAAATTTAACTATAATGACAATGATTAATAATGCCACATAGTACGTATGTGCTAGTCCCCTCTGTTCAAGATAATACATCACTGAAATCATATTTAAATTTGAGGCAAAACACTGCAGATTTGTTGGAGAAAGTGAATACATTTGGGGGTATGTAAAATTTCCTACTGTTTTACTTTAAACTGGATGACTTTTGAGGAAACTCCCAGAAGAGATAAAATTGAAAAGAGATAAAGTATGACTCTATACCATGGCACACATTCAACACACAATCACACCGCCTTCACCTTACACGCAAAGTATATTCCTGCCTCAGCACCTTTGCATTTGCTATTCCCTAAGCCTGATGGGTCATTCTCTAGATAGTCATGGTCCACTGCCTCCCTTAAGTCCCTGCTCAAGTGGCACTTCCTCAGAGCAGCCTTCCCTGATCGGCCCATCTAAAAAGAACACGGTGTCACTAGCCCTTGAACCTTTCTTTTTCTTCATAGCATTTAACCATCGTCTGACTTTACGTTATCTGCCATACCCACTAGAATGGAAGGTCCACGAAGGCAGGGACTTCGTTCGCACTGTTCATGGCTGTGGCCCTGGATTCTGGTACATGATAATCGCGTAAGACATATTTGTTGAATGAATGGAATGAACTGCGATTTGACTTTAAATATTTACCTCGTTTGCTTCCTTAACCAGACAATAAATTCATGGAAGGCAGCCAAAGACCTTGGTTGCTTATTTATCTTCTCTAAAGCAATTAGCTCAGTTCTTCATGGATGATGAGACATTCACCCCAGATTTACTGAATGAATGCCCTGAAACATGTGTGTGACAGGCCGAACGGTTTAGTCAGCATTCCCTGCAGGTGACTGAGAACAGTAATGTCTTGCCTTTCAGCCCTCTTTACAAAGTACTTTTATGTTAACTCACTTGATCATTTTGCCAATACTGTAGTAGTTCTTAAGGTTTGTCTGAAGAAACGAGCACTCGAATACAGCAAATGTTAATTTCTGGCATGTACAATTACTAATTTTGAATACTATTTGGGGGGTGGCTTAGATGTCAGTAGCATTTAATGTGTTCTTGGACATCTGAAAAAATATTTTGAAAGACCGAATCACATTTAAAAGAAGTAAAAATAAAAAAGACTATCTTGATACAAATGTGTGCCTGGAGAGATTTTTGGAAGCGTTTAATGAAGTCTTCATGGTGGTTATTTCTAGATGGTGGAACATTGATAACGTTTCTTGGTTCAGCCTTCCATTTTTCCTTTGAATTTTAAAAATATTCGAAGTCGTCCAAAGAAACCTATTTCTATACAATGCTCTATTTCTGTTTGTCAGTGTGACTAGCATAAAACAGACCACTACTCATTTTTCTGGCTATGTAATTCTCAGTATACAGCAAATTTCATTGAGAAAAACTTTTTGATACTGATTCATAGTAAAGCAACAAATACAGTGAACCAAAATTCTGAAGGGTTTTTTGTATGTTTTCCGTATTTACGAGAGGTCATGTAATTCTCTCGGCAGGACAAAAGGTAGAGCAATGCTTCGTATTTCATAGTTTTTCATCATTTGCCAAAAAAAACTTTCCAGGATATTGAGCTCCCAAAACAGGCGGCCAAAATGCGGCGCAGGGACTTGTTCTGGACTTTGGACCATCCTTAGAGGACACACATGAAATGTGCTCATTCTTTTTTTCTTGACATTTTAAAATACTTACAATTTCCTTTCCTCGTCTTTTTTTTTTTACCCACGGGGATTGAGAAGACATGCAAATAAGCACTTTGTGGAAAATCTCCACTGATGCCAACAGTATGGTCCTCATTTTTGGCTGAAGAGGTTTTGGGTTTTCCGTTCCTTCTGAACTGGACGGCTTTCCAAAGGTGCCGGTGCCTGCGCATGCCGGCGTGTTTAGGTGCGCGTGACTCCGAGAGGTGGGCTTTGAGCACATGGCTTACACACTCAACGAAGAGGCGCGTGAGGCCGAGCAGGTGGGCGCAGGTGTGCAGTCTCGAGCGGCTGGGGGACCCTCCGCCCAGACCTGCGCCCTCCACGCCAGGCCAGGGCGCGGCAGGGCGGGCGCAGGGAGAGGGGCGGCCGGGCCAGCGGTGCAGCAGCGCAGCCTGGCAGGGTCAGGCAGGGTCCAGGTGACGTGCTCGAGGGGTTGGGGGACCTTTTCTCCCTCCTGCTGGTGCGCTTAGAGCGGAGACCTCGGGAGGGGTGCAGAGGGCTGAGGAGGTCCCGGAGGCCACCAGGCGGGTGGGGGAGGGCACAGTGGGCGGGGCGCTCCTCCCACAATCCAGTCCCGGCGGAGCTGACGGCGACTTCCGTCCGGCCTCACCGTCTTAGGGACGCGGAAACCGAGACCGGGGACGGCGCGCGCGTGAGGGGCGCCCGGACGTCCAGGTACGTGAGGTCCCCTCCGCGGCCGGCACGGGGACGGTTGGG